ACATTTTGTAAAATTATATTACACTTGTTTCACATATTTCTACCATCATTGCGATCGTCAATGACTCGATATCACTATCATTTGAAATATTCAATGTTATACTATCATCATTGCCTACTTTGTAACATTTATTGTTACACCACCACCACAACTATCGTCACGACTACATTTATACTATCGGAAATAAAAACCAAAACAAAAGCACCAAAAATACCATCAACACTATCCGAGACTACCACCACCATCACTTGAAAACATCATTACCGCCACGAAATACCAATTTCACAAAACCACTCAAAAAAAAGAGTCTGATCCATCAGAATCCAAAATGAAGGATTCTCAATACTATTATTCAAGATTTGCAAAGGGTTCTTGGAGGATAAATTCTTGATTTCCCATATGAAATTGTTCGTTTCGCTAACAATTGCAGAATTTGTGGTGTGGCAAACGTAGTGGAAGAAAGAAATAGTGGTGGTAAAAAATGGCAGCTCAGGCGGCAAAATTAGATTGCATCACCTGCGGTGGAGAGAGGCAGTTGTGAAAGAAATAGGTAGTAGTGGAGGAAGGGTAGCACTGCTGGCCGTGGCGGCGATAGCTACACACTTTTTTTTTTTTTTTAAATAGCATTATTATTAATGTAATAACAAGCTGTTAATAGCATTATTCTCCTATAGTCAAATATTTAATGGAAAAGAAGTGTAATTGAAATTTCAAAAGAAAAGGAAGGTGGTGAGTGTAATTTCAAAAGAAATAGGAAAAACAATGTCAAAGCATTCGGCTTATATTTCATTGGAACATATGGTTAATTTAACTTCCAACGGCCCAACTGACAAAGTCATTACTGCCAAGTTTGACCTTGAAGTGTCACGGGCCGACGAGGGCTAATTTAGGATTTTCAGTGAAATTACACAAATTTCGTTACAGAAAGAGATAGCGATAGATGGACAGACCCAGTCTTTAGCTTCATGATAACATAATCAATACAATTCTTGTTTCTTCTCCAACCAAAACTCTGGAATCGCCCGAATCTGAAATCTTTGCCAGAAAATGGGTTTTCTTTAAAACCAATGAATTTCAACATGGCTGAAGAAGAAAGCAGTGTTAATACAGGAAAGCCAGGATTGAAACAAGCTATTGAGAACATTTCTTCATTGATTTCTCTGTCTTATTCAATCAAGGTTTTTGCAGTGAAATGGAAATCCATACGCCCAAAGCTCGAAGAGCTTCTTACCAACCTCATTGCAATTGAGAATTGTGATTTCGGCGAGAATTTTTCTCTGTCTAGCACATTAGAGAAGATTTTAACAACGCTTAAAGACTGCGACGAACTTGCCCGACGATGCATCGATTTATCATATAGTGGGAAGCTTCTTATGAAAAGTGATCTTGATATTGTATCCTCAAAATTGGATAGTCATATCAAGAGACTTTCTGGAATATATGCTCTTGGTTTGCTCTCAAATGGCTCCGCCATATTGGCTTCAAGGCCTAGTATATCGGCTTCTTGGAACGATATGAGGTTCTATGTTAATGATTTGTTGTCCAGGCTCAAAATTGGTAGTGTTGACATGAAGAGACAAGCCCTAGTTGCCTTCAATGAAGCCATTCAAGAAGATGATAGATATATAAAAATTGCAGTTCAAATTGATAGTTTCATCAACTACTTGGTGAATTTTCTTGATTTTCAGGATAATGAGGTTCAGGAGGAGGCTGCCAAGGCTGTTTCCTTCATTTCAGGATTTCAGTCCTTCAGAGGAGTATTGGTCAGGGTAGGGATAATTTCACCATTGATTAGAGTTTTGGAGTGTGGAAGTGATTTGAGCAAAGAATTCGCAGCAGTCTGTTTGAATAAATTCACAGAGAATTCGGAAAATGCTTGGTCAGTTTCTTCTCATGGTGGAGTGTCTATACTGTTGAAAATATGTAATAATGGGGATAATGCAGTTGAATTGGTTAGCCTGGCTTGTAGGGTGTTGAAAAATCTTGTCAGGGTTGAAGAAATCAAGAGATTTATTGTTGAGGAAGGGGCGATTCCGTTGTTTGTTAAGCTTGCCAGGTCTAAAGATGAGATTATACAGATAAGTTCACTTGATTTTCTGCAGGCTATGGCTTATGGGGATGAATCAATCAGGGAAGTGATAGTAAAAGAAGGTGGAATTTGCGCATTAGTACGTGTATTGGATCCTAAATCATCTTTTTCATCAAAGACAAGAGAGGTGGGATTTAGAGGAATTGTGAATTTATGTTTCTCATCTTATGATTCTTTGAATATGCTGATCAATTATGGATTTATGGATCATATACTTTATTTTCTTCGATATGGGGATGTTTCGGATCAAGAATTGGCATTGAAAGCAGCATTTTGGCTATGTGCAACATCGGAGGAGGCCAAAAAGGTAATGGGTGATGCAGGTTTTATGCCGGCTCTTGTTAAACTTCTCAACTCAAAACCATTCAAAATTCGCGAAATGGCAGCTGAAACACTCTCCAGCATGGTAATTGTACCAAGAAATCGGAAAATATTCGTGCAGAATGATCAGAATGTTGGTTTGCTTATGCAAATGCTTGATCCAGAAAAGGTCAATTCAGGTAACAAAAAGCTCTTGCTGTCTATATTGATGTCATTGACTAGTTGCAACAGTGCAAGAAAGAAGATCATGAATTCTGGGCACTTGAGGAATATTGAAAAGCTCGCAGAGGCCGAGGTTTCTGATGCAAAAATGATCATTCGAAGATTATCATCGAGTAAATTTCAAAATATCATAAGTGGGATTTGGCATTCTTGAATTAATGTGATCCCATCTTTATCAATTCTTGTTTTGTATATCTACATATTAGTTCCATTTGAGTAAATAGATTCAGATAATGCTACTTATTTATGCACAAGGGCTTATAGAAAATGACTGTAACCATAAACATGATTCCAATAGTACTGCAGTTTTAATAAATATAAAGTGGGTTATTTTAATTTAGCTGGAATTCTTGTATGGAATTGTGCTCAACTGCACATAGGAAGAGCATGAATTGGTGTACAAATTAACAAGATCTGCCTCCTCCTGTCTTTGTTTGTCTTTTTATATTCTATTATTTTTTTGTTGTGCATGTTTATCTTGTATGCAGAAGATAATGAAGAATATTTTATCTATCTTTCTTCATTATATCTTTTAGTGCGGTTTAATACCGAATATGATATTAGTCTTCATCTTTTCCAGAAATAATCATTATGAATTTTATTTGCAAAATAAAACATGTTAGTTGAAAAAATCTAATCATAACAGTATCTATGACAGCCCAAATCTTCTAAGCATCCAAAGAGCAGCAGGAGGAAGTGTACAGGAGTGGCAATTGGTCGAAGCGAGTCGAAGCAAGTCAATTCGATCTTTTGACACTTGAGCTCAGTTCATATTCACAAACTATGTTTAATTTGACCATTTGGCTCGTGGGCTTCATGCGTCAAGCTGGTTTTTTTTTTTTTTTTTTTTTTTTTTTAAATAAATTAGCTGACCCATGAATCCAAAACGAGTCGTGAAAAAAATTGAGCTCGACTTGATTCATAGCATATTCCAGTATGAGCTCGAGCTTGTAAGGAGTCAGAACGGACCGAGCGGCTCGTTATTTGCCACCCCTAAAGGTGCCCAAAGAGTTAAGTAACCCACCCATCCCACTCCAAAATTAAAAGAACAAACACAGACAGACACAAAAATACAAAGAGTACAGGAATTGGATAGTGATAGAGACATGGAGAGGGATGGGGATGATTGCTGGTAACATGGGCTTCTTAAAGTTTGGGAGACAATAATTTAGATGTAGGTTTTAATCAAAATTATTTATTGAACCTTAAACCTAATCAATCATTGCCATACGATGATGGTACATTTTGGTCCAAAAATTACCATTTAACAAATATTCAGTTGGATGCATAGGGTGCCTCAACTTCATAGAAATATATACAATTATCTTTTAATCTCGGCTAACGTCTACGTTTAATGTAATGATCCACCGATATAACATTCTAGTTACATGATTGAATTTTGATTTGGTTCCTAATAAAACTTATAATATTCTCTATCGAGAAAAGTTTTTTTATAATCTCAATACTAAATTAACAATTAATTAATGTTATAAAAATTTAAATATATTAAAAAATATTTAAATGAATGAACAATTTTGTTGTTTGAAATATTAAAATTTTGCACTTCGTTCTTTATTCAAGCACGACACTAAAATAATTGATCTATTTCTAAAAATTAATTTTTTTTTTGGAAATGAATGATTTGTAATCTTGAAAACAAATAAGAGAAAATGCCCCCCCCCAGACATAATCTAGTGGTGCAAAGGATAAGAGTGAGGTAGTCTCAACCTTATTGACAGCCGCAGTATGAATGTTCGATTCCTGAGATATGAAATTGGTGTGGATACCAATGTATGGGTAAGTTCTTGTTCCTTGACCTGTTGGGGCACATCCCGCGATTCACCTCCCTCATGATACTTTAGGTAAATAGTGGTGGGAGCACTTAAAGTTGGGGTTCAACTTTTAACAAATAAGAGAGAATGGACTCATTGCTAGTGCTCGAGTGAAAAAAGAAAATGATCGTTCTTTGTACTTAGTCGACCTCGCACGTGCTATATAGTAACATCAGAGTTGATTGACGATCGAAATTTTTTAATATTTTAACTTTAATTTAAACCAAACACGAGCTTAATATATTATTCATTATTTGGATTCTTGATAAAAAAAATGTTAATTTTTTCTTTCCTATACAAAATTTAATTAGAAAACTCTCATTCACATCGTGTTCTAACGATGCCCATTATTCTATTCTGAATTCCAACTCGTATTCTAACATGCGCCGACGTGGAATGAGCATACGTGTCAAGAAACGAGAGGGGTTGCGCAAATCACACATGGTGCAGATTAGACACTGCCACTGCCAAACCTGTCAGCTTCAGCTAAGGTGGTGGAGTGCCTAATAATTAATTTATCAATTTAAAACCCTACCTACGTACTATCTTTTATAATAATAATAATCCTTTTGGTACTCTTTTTGATTTTGTTTATCGCTATAATCTGCAAGTGGTTAGCTTCTTCTTTGCCTCTTCAGGTTCTCCAACCATTCAATTCAGCACAATGAGAGAAAGCGGTATTAATCTCTTCTTCTTCTTCTTCTTCCAATAACTCAATACATTCAGGTAGCTTCATATGTATGAATTTTTGCATATTGAAATGTAGAAATGATATTTTCTGATTTGGGTAATTATGATTCGTGATGGATTTTTTTTTTTGTTTCAGTTACTGGAATGGTATAGGTATGTACATTCTATAATTTTTTTTGCACATTTTCGACGATTTTGAAGTTGCTGAAGATGCATTATTATGAAATATTTTTGAAGAATTTTCCAGCAAAACGCCTTGCCACCACTCTCTGCGTATAGTACAAACGCGGTGAGCAGGATTTTGGTTGTTTGCTTTATTTATTTATTTTGATTCATATGAATTTCTCGGTCCACGGTATTGATTATTTGAGAGGAAATTGTATTTTTTAGGTTTCTCTTCTTTGTTACAACTGTTCTCCATTTTCAGAGAAAATGTTTGATATTTTCATTTTGTATTATATTTTAATGGAATGCGCTCTAAACCTTGTTGTTTAAAATGATTATAATGCAGTTTTTCCGAGTCTGAATCAATTTATTAACTAAAATGCAAACGGATCCAAACGGACCAAACCCCAAGAAATCCAAAGATTCGCCATCAAACTCAGCTAACACCGAGTCAACTCAGTCACCCTCTCCATTCCCAGATGAAGTCCTGGAAAAAGTTCTCTCATTTCTAAACTCGGACAAGGACAGGAGTTCAGTTTCACTGGTTTGCAAGGACTGGTACAATGCTGAGCGCTGGACAAGAACCAAACTTTTCATAGGCAATTGCTATTCAGTCTCTCCGGAGATTGTGGCAAGAAGGTTTACAAAAATCAAGAGTGTCACGCTCAAAGGGAAACCTAGGTTTTCCGATTTCAATTTGGTCCCTCAAAATTGGGGAGCGGATGTGCATTATTGGCTTCTTATGTTTGCCAATGTCTACCCCTTTCTGGAGGAATTGAGGCTTAAGAGGATGACTATCAGTGATGAAAGCTTGGAGCTTCTGGCCACATCATTTCCGGGCTTCAGGGCTTTATCTTTGATGAGTTGTGATGGATTCAGCACAGATGGGCTCAAAGCTATTGCCACCCATTGCAGGTGTGTGTGCTGTTTTCCCTAATCTTTATAAATATAATTTGTTTGTTTGTCATGATTGTTGCAATTGGTTGTTTCCTTTTTCTTGAATTTTTGAATTGTATGGGCTGTAAATATCTCGATTTCTGGATATAGGAATTTTTTCACTGAATGGCTAGTTTTAGAATTGTACATTTGTCCCTGTTTTGATGTTTGTTAGTATGGTCTGTCATGATCCCATTGCATCTTAGCTTTGTGAAGAGATTGTTTGTTTTCTGGACATGCCAACTTTAATTACTGGATATGGTTTGTTATTGTCTCTTTTCAGTTAGCCCTCTTTGTAAATTTTTGCCTTTTCTTTTGTTAAATCTAGACTAGGAATTTGGTTTGTGTTTGAATGCATTTGTAGCTCTCTTGATTGTTCTTGAGTTCTCTAAGATTCAATAGGCTTTGTGGTAACTTCCTTTATCAAATGAAAATCTTTTGATTATTGATTGAAATAGTACTATTTTAAGGTATTAGCAGTTTCTTTTGACAAAGTGTATGAGGAATAGATTAATATATCAGTAAGGAGGAGGAAATGTGGTATTGTGTATCCATGGATTTGGACTGGTTGAAAAAATTGCATTTCTTTGATATGGGTGAGTGATAGATAACGTAGTTTTGGGGTAGGGAATTGGGGGTTTGTGTGTATTTCTTTGGATTTGTCTTGCCGTGAGAAACATAGATTTTAGTGGAAACTTGAATTGTTTCAACTTTATTTTCATTTTCAATGGTTTTTGGTGTTGCTTTCTAGATATGGACATTTGACCTTTTACATGGCATTTAATGGATAGCATTCCTTGATGTCACTCATGTTGTCCACATTTCCCCATATTCATTGGTCAAGAGAAAAAGCCATAATGCTGTGAATATGTTGTGAACTATTCATTTGGTTTCTTCTTGTTAAGTGGTTGAGTTATTCTTCATGATTGGACATGTTTATCCATTTCAGAGTGCGCTATTTTTCACTTTCAATTAATTTCGAAAATGGAAATTTCCTTTAAATATTGAAGAAGTGCTTAGGTTGATTCGACTTCAATTTAATCATTATGTTTTAGTAGATATGTATGTCACCGAGTTCTAGCATATCCTGAAGATATGCCACTGTTGCTTAAAACGTGACTACAATCTGATTCTGATATTTTGCTTTATGTCTGATTATACCACAGTATTTTAAATTCTGTTTTGAAATTTTGACCTTTGACATACATGCCTAGTGCTTCTTAGCATTTTCAATATGCTATAAATAAATGATGGCAAATGCAACATGGCTTGTCAATTGATTCACTTGCATATGGTTTTAGATATGGCTAATCTTCTTTTACTGGATTTGCAAGTCTGATGCCTGACTCTCCACCTTTTGATCAATTTCACTATAATATTTTTGTCTTTTCACCAATTACCAGTTTTTCCCCAAAATGGATTTTTTATTTTTTTTAAAATTGTCTTCCAGCACATTGTTTCTGGGGATTGGCTGACTTTCATTACATATGGCTCCTAAATATATAATGTGGAGTTGGACCATTTCACAGGGGCAAACAAAAAACCCTGAACTGGACAAACTGGATTGGTCCTGAACTGCAATGTCCAGATGGGTCCAGATACGAGTTAAAAAATTAAAAAATTTTAAAAAAAATAAAAACTGGTTTTCCTACTCAAGATCATGACCGGTTTCCCATTTTATTTTTTAGCTTTTTAGGTAAACGCAAATTTTCTATTGGTACATAAATACAATAGAATGCACTCTTACACCCCTAATCTGGTTCCCTTTCAAAATGGAAAAAAGGGTTGTGTTATACTATAAAGAATGTCAACCAAAGAATCAAATTTTGAACAGTTCAGTTCAATTCTTGGTGAAACCTTATCAAGCCACCTGTATCTTTGAGTTTTAAGTTTTTTGGTTGGCTGTTAGTTAGCATAAGTCACCTTACAATCATTAGCCTTTATTGAAGTTTCCATTCTTGAAGTTGTTACTTGCAATATGTTCAGTATTTTTGGCCAAGTGATCTGTCCTTTTCCATTCAGCACTAAATGAATATTTCATGCAGTCATGATAAGCTTATGGTGATGCAAGTCTAGAACCTAGAGTCTCTAATTTGTTATCCTTTTATATTACTTTATTTCGTGGATAACTTCTGGACTTGGAAGCCGTCAAATATTTAGATTTTCCCTCATTCATTCCTTTACATCAACAACCATCCATTAACTCAGTGAGACTTTGCTAGGGAAACGGGTTGATTAAAAGATAAATAACATGCAGTCGTACAAATCAGAATAAAAGAAAGCTTCGGTTTGGAGTTTTCCAAAAAATAATAATAATAGAAAGGTTATTTGAAATCATTCTTACAGTGCCCTTATTGTTTTTCATCTGGCTTTCAGGAGCTTGACTGAGCTTGACATACAGGACGTGGATATGGATGACTTTTGTGGTGGTTGGCTGAGTTGCTTTCCTGAGGATTTTGGTTCACTGGAAGTACTGAACTTTGCCACCCTCGACAGTGAGGTCAATTTTGATGCTCTTGAGAGACTTGTAAGTCAGTGCAAATCGTTAAGGGTTCTCAAGGTCAATAAGACTATTACATTGGACCAATTACAACGACTGCTTTTGCGGGCTCCTCAGTTGATGGAGCTTGGTACAGGTTCCTTCCAGCAAGAGCTTTTGCCTGGTCAATTTGGAGACCTTGGGATTGCTTTCAGCAATTGTAAAAATCTTCGAACTCTTTCTGGTTTATGGGAAGTCGCTTCCATCTACTTCCCTGTTCTTTATGTGGCTTGTGCCAGTCTGACTTTCTTGAACTTGAACTACACGGCTCTTCGAAGTGATGAATTTGGAAGTCTTCTTGCTCACTGCCCCAATTTGAGGCGCCTATGGGTAAGAAACTAACATTTGATATGTTCAGAGTTTCATCCACTGGAGCTTGGACCTCCAAAGCCTTTTCTAACCATGGATAGTATGTGGTCTTTGAGGACTTTGAAAAGTTATATTGTCGACTTAGCTCTTGGTTCTTTCGCTGTAAATGAAAGTAAATGCACCTTGCATAGAAATCTTGAGGATAATTCTTATATGTCTGCCTCAATGATACTGGGAAGTGGTGGCATTAGTTTATTGTTCTTTTAATTGCTATGATGGCGTCCATTTCTGGATACTTATACTGCGTGTGGATTTGTGAAAATTTTCAAGTGTACATAGGAATGTTTATGAGGTCTCTGAACTTTTTGTCATGATGACTTCAATCTTTCCCACCCCAAAAGAAAAAAGAAGAGGAGAGAAGAAAATCAGGACTAGTATGTTTTGAATTTATTGCTATATCACTGATCTCTTTCTTTTATCCTGCAATTACTGACAGCAGCTCACTTACTGAAAGTGCAAGTGCTAATGTATAAATTATTCTTTTGACACAGGTCCTTGATACGGTTGAAGACAAGGGGCTTGAGGCTGTTGGATCCAGCTGTCCCTTGCTTGAAGAACTACGAGTCTTCCCTGCAGATCCTTATGACCAGCATCTTCGCCGTGGGGTGACTGAGTCAGGTTTTGTGGCTGTATCTCGTGGATGCAGAAAACTCCATTATGTCCTTTACTTCTGCTGGCAGATGACTAATGCTGCTGTTGCCACCATTGTACAGAACTGCCCCAATTTTACCCACTTTCGCCTTTGCATAATGAATCCAGGTCGGCCAGATTACCTCACAAATGAACCCATGGATGAGGCCTTTGGTGCAGTGGTTAAAAATTGCACTAAGCTCCAGAGGCTTTCAATGTCGGGCCTTCTAACTGATCTGACTTTCGAGTATATTGGGAAGTATGCCAAAAATCTCGAGACACTTTCTGTGGCTTTTGCTGGCAGCAGTGATCGGGGGATGCAGTGCGTTCTTGAAGGTTGTCCAAAGCTAAGGAAGCTTGAGATAAGAGATTGTCCATTTGGGAATGCTGCTCTTCTGTCTGGACTAGAGAAATATGAAACAATGCGGTCATTATGGATGTCATCTTGTAATGTGACAATAAATGCATGTCAGCGACTTGCTAGGGAGATGCCGAGATTGAATGTTGAGGTAATGAAAGACAAGGAAAGTGATGACAGTCGAGCTGACAAAGTTTATGTCTATCGTTCGGTAGCAGGGCCAAGAAGAGATGCACCACCTTTTGTTCTCACTCTTTGATCGCCTGGAAATAAAAAATTAAAAAAAGAAGATTTCTTGGTTAGTAATTGCTTCTTTTAATATCTTTCAGTTTGTTAATCAAATTCTCGTCCAAAACTATGGGCCAAGTGACTCTTGAAAGCAGGGGCAGAGCTAGGATTGTTAAATCAGGGGCAAAAGGTGGGTTTGCTGTAGTGTAAAAACAACTAATACCTGTACAAGGGTTGTATTTTAGTTTGTATAATGAGGTTTTGAAATTGAGTGTGGGGGTAGCTGACCCCATTGTCCCCACACTAAATCTGCCCCTGCTTGAAAATAGTCATTTTGTATCAAGTTAAGATAAAATTGTTGCTTACATAGTATCTTTGGACCCTTGATGGTTTGTGGGTGTAGAAATAAAAGAGTATTCATCTGATGAAACGTTAAGAGGCGATAGGGCAAGTGTCTATACATGCATTATGTTAAGCATCAGCACATAGGGTAAATAGATAAGGGACAATTGGCATAGTGGCATTAAAATTTGGCCTGCAATGACTTATTTGTCGACTTAAATTGTGAAAAAGCATCTTTTTAGCGGAATGAAATTTTGATGCTTTACTTCAAAACAATTTTTTTCTCCCTTTATATTTGTAGTTTTATTTTTGTTTTGAGAATTTCTACTATGATAGAAAATTATACTCAACTGTGATTGAGATTAAAGACTCCTGAGTCGAGTTTAGTAATGATGACGGATATTTTGAAATCAACAAATTGAAAATTTCTCAAGATTTAAGAGCAAGTTATTTAATATCAACATCCACGCCTTGTAATAAATAAAGAGATGATATTATTACAAAATTCTGGATATATCTTTTATATTTATTTCTTAATTATATTGAACGATGTCAATAATTGTTTTTTTTCCCACATTATTATAATAGTACTTACAATATGACAATTAATTGGATTTTTCACTTCTTTGTCACTCAAGTTCTTTAGTGCAATCATTAAATTTTGATGCCATAGCCTTTTGGATGATTTTACTCGTAAACTTTTTGCGTACATAATGAAAAGTGTACATAATGGAACTTACATTTTTAACGTTAACTAAGTCTATACTTTTAAAATTTGTTCTATTCTCAATATATTATTTTATATTATTATAAAAAGTTGTAACAAAGTGTGTTACATTTTGTAAAATTATATTACACTTGTTTCACATATTTCTACCATCATTGCGATCGTCAATGACTCGATATCACTATCATTTGAAATATTCAACGTTATACTATCATCATTGCCTACTTTGTAACATTTATTGTTACACCACCACCACAACTATCGTCACGACTACATTTATACTATCGGAAATAAAAACCAGAACAAAAGCACCAAAAATACCATCAACACTATCCGAGACTACCACCACCATCACTTGAAAACATCATTACCGCCACGAAATACCAATTTCACAAAACCACTCAAAAAAAAGAGTCTGATCCATCAGAATCCAAAATGAAGGATTCTCAATACTATTATTCAAGATTTGCAAAGGGTTCTTGGAGGATAAATTCTTGATTTCCCATATGAAATTGTTCGTTTCGCTAACAATTGCAGAATTTGTGGTGTGGCAAACGTAGTGGAAGAAAGAAATAGTGGTGGTAAAAAATGGCAGCTCAGGCGGCAAAATTAGATTGCATCACCTGCGGTGGAGAGAGGCAGTTGTGAAAGAAATAGGTAGTAGTGGAGGAAGGGTAGCACTGCTGGCCGTGGCGGCGATAGCTACACACTTTTTTTTTTTTTTTAAATAGCATTATTATTAATGTAATAACAAGCTGTTAATAGCATTATTCTCCTATAGTCAAATATTTAATGGAAAAGAAGTGTAATTGAAATTTCAAAAGAAAAGGAAGGTGGTGAGTGTAATTTCAAAAGAAATAGGAAAAACAATGTCAAAGCATTCGGCTTATATTTCATTGGAACATATGGTTAATTTAACTTCCAACGGCCCAACTGACAAAGTCATTACTGCCAAGTTTGACCTTGAAGTGTCACGGGCCGACGAGGGCTAATTTAGGATTTTCAGTGAAATTACACAAATTTCGTTACAGAAAGAGATAGCGATAGATGGACAGACCCAGTCTTTAGCTTCATGATAACATAATCAATACAATTCTTGTTTCTTCTCCAACCAAAACTCTGGAATCGCCCGAATCTGAAATCTTTGCCAGAAAATGGGTTTTCTTTAAAACCAATGAATTTCAACATGGCTGAAGAAGAAAGCAGTGTTAATACAGGAAAGCCAGGATTGAAACAAGCTATTGAGAACATTTCTTCATTGATTTCTCTGTCTTATTCAATCAAGGTTTTTGCAGTGAAATGGAAATCCATACGCCCAAAGCTCGAAGAGCTTCTTACCAACCTCATTGCAATTGAGAATTGTGATTTCGGCGAGAATTTTTCTCTGTCTAGCACATTAGAGAAGATTTTAACAACGCTTAAAGACTGCGACGAACTTGCCCGACGATGCATCGATTTATCATATAGTGGGAAGCTTCTTATGAAAAGTGATCTTGATATTGTATCCTCAAAATTGGATAGTCATATCAAGAGACTTTCTGGAATATATGCTCTTGGTTTGCTCTCAAATGGCTCTGCCATATTGGCTTCAAGGCCTAGTATATCGGCTTCTTGGAACGATATGAGGTTCTATGTTAATGATTTGCTGTCCAGGCTCAAAATTGGCAGTGTTGACATGAAGAAACAAGCCCTAGTTGCCTTCAATGAAGCCATTCAAGAAGATGATAGATATATAAAAATTGCAGTTCAAATTGATAGTTTCATCAACTACTTGGTGAATTTTCTTGATTTTCAGGATAATGAGGTTCAGGAGGAGGCTGCCAAGGCTGTTTCCTTCATTTCAGGATTTCAGTCCTTCAGAGGAGTATTGGTCAGGGTAGGGATAATTTCACCATTGATTAGAGTTTTGGAGTGTGGAAGTGATTTGAGCAAAGAATTCGCAGCAGTCTGTTTGAATAAATTCACAGAGAATTCGGAAAATGCTTGGTCAGTTTCTTCTCATGGTGGAGTGTCTATACTGTTGAAAATATGTAATAATGGGGATAATGCAGTTGAATTGGTTAGCCTGGCTTGTAAGGTGTTGAAAAATCTTGTCGGGGTTGAAGAAATCAAGAGGTTTATCATTGAGGAAGGGGCGATTCCGTTGTTTGTTAAGCTTGCCAGGTCTAAAGATGAGATTATACAGATAAGTTCACTTGATTTTCTGCAGGCTATGGCTTATGGGGATGAATCAATCAGGGAGGTGATAGTAAAAGAAGGTGGAATTTGCGCATTAGTACGTGTATTGGATCCTAAATCATCTTTTTCATCGAAGACAAGAGAGGTGGGATTTAGAGGAATTGTGAATTTATGTTTCTCATCTTATGATTCTTTGAATATGCTGATCAATTATGGATTTATGGATCATATACTTTATTTTCTTCGATATGGGGATGTTTCGGTTCAAGAATTGGCATTGAAAGCAGCATTTTGGCTATGTGCAACATCGGAGGAGGCCAAAAAGGTAATGGGTGATGCAGGTTTTATGCCGGCTCTTGTTAAACTTCTCGACTCAAAACCATTCAAAATTCGCGAAATGGCAGCTGAAACACTCTCCAGCATGGTAATTGTACCAAGAAATCGGAAAATATTCGTGCAGAACGATCAGAATGTTGGTTTGCTTATGCAAATGCTTGATCCAGAAAAGGTCAATTCAGGTAACAAAAAGCTCTTGATCTCTATATTGATGTCATTGACTAGTTGCAACAGTGCAAGAAAGAAGATCATGAATTCTGGGCACTTGAGGAATATTGAAAAGCTCGCAGAGGCCGAGGTTTCTGATGCAAAAATGATCATTCGAAGATTATCATCGAGTAAATTTCAAAATATCATAAGTGGGATTTGGCATTCTTGAATTAATGTGATCCCATCTTTATCAATTCTTGTTTTGTATATCTACATATTAGTTCCATTTGAGTAAATAGATTCAGATAATGCTACTTATTTATGCACAAGGGCTTATAGAAAATGACTGTAACCATAAACATGATTCCAATAGTACTGCAGTTTTAATAAATATAAAGTGGGTTATTTTAATTTAGCTGGAATTCTTGTATGGAATTGTGCTCAACTGCACATAGGAAGAGCATGAATTGGTGTACAAATTAACAAGATCTGCCTCCTCCTGTCTTTGTTTGTCTTTTTATATTCTATTATTTTTTTGTTGTGCATGTTTATCTTGTATGATTTTAGACATGAACGAAGAGTCATTTTGTGGGTCCAAGCAATCAAGAAGCTATATACTATAAGCATAGAATTAATTTCCCATCCCATTGGGAAAGATAAATTTTTTTACTACTGAAGTGGTAAGAAAACTTTAATTATGTTTATCTGATTTATGACCATTATAAAGAATCATAATTAATGTTCTTTTGCCACATTAGCAATAGAAAGTTTTTATTCTGTTCATTAGGGATAGAAAATGAGAACTAATCATAACCATATCATTTCGGAGATCTTGTTAGTTGTTACGGGGAAAAAAAAGGAAAAAGAAAAGAAAAGAAAAAACACTTAATTTCACCTCCTTTGGTAATAAGTGAACAGATATGAGAGAGGAACAGTGGAAAATGTAGAGAGAGCAAATTGATCACATTCTTGGATCTTGATCTCAAACAAGATAATTCAATGCACCATCTTCAGTTTCAACAACTTCAACGACATTTATTGGGAACTATTGTGTTTCTTGAAGACTTAGAAAAGATTTTTCCCATGTAGGAATGTACAAAAAGTTTGGGCCACACAAACTGCCGTCCAATATTTGCAGTCCATTCAATAAATGATTGACACACCATTTTAAATTAACATATCCAATCATTTCTCTCGCTGCCACTTGTGCTTAAAATGAAATGACACTTAAATGCAAAATGATGTGTCAATCATTTAATGGTGAACAACAAATTTTGGACAATATATCTTATGTCCTTAATTGGTACCGCTAAAAATTTAAGTCAAAATCAACAATTAATTTTAACCACACATTTCATAAATTCCACAGCATTTCAACTGTAAATTTCATTAATTTTTATCAAAATCTACTAAAAATTTAATTTTAATCTCTATCAAATAGAGGCTTTCTTGCATATAGGCAAGGGCCCAGACAAGCTTTTTGAAGCCTTTAATAACGGGCAATGCCTAGAATGAAGTTAGGTAGGGCTCTGTGTATGTGCATTGATTTGGAGACAAGTCCACATAACCTTTGTAATAATATATGAAAAAAAGAAGAAAAAAATTATGGCATCAATAAACCAACAACCCTAACATCACATATATATTAAAAAGAACAAGAATTATTCTAGTTGTACAACTAGGGTTGACAACCCCAGTTGACAATGTACTCATAAGAGGAGGCCATGATTTTTTTATTCAGCATCGGTCCCCCTCCCATGTGTGTGATTGTCAATTCCGATTGTGCATATAGCATTGTTGAAAAAAGCCAGCAAAATGTTAAATTTTGAAACATACTCGTACATGCGTTCTTTTTATATACGTTGACATGGATTCCGTATTACTTGGCGAATTATTTTAGGTCTTTCAATTTCAATTCAGCGTAATTACATATGGCTTTACAAATTTGTTTTTGTGAATACGCAATTATGGAAACGTTCTGAAAGTGAATGATAAACTTCCTAAAATTTTAGACATGACATTATTCTTAGTTTTATGATTATAATTAAATCTATGAGTGATTATAAAATAATATTATTCAGCATTCTTGTTTTTAAGAGGAAATTAAAACAAAACTGAATTTATTGAAAACTTCTATGGTTACAACATTCAAATTACCCTTGTGATTCTTTTCCACAGGTTCCAAAATAGAAGTGATTTTCTTGTACTCCTAATTGTATTCAACATTCTTGTTTTGTAAGAGGAAATGAAAGCAAAGCTGAATTAATTGAAAACTTCTATAGTTTCAAAATTCAAATTACCCTTGTGATTCTTTTCCACAAGTTCCCAAACGGAAGAGATTTTCTTCTATTCCAGTTACTGTCCCTTTCTCTTATTTCTATTGCAATAACCCCACTATTTTCCACCAAGCCAAGAATGTGCCAACAAACAATGAAATTGCAATTCTAAACAACAATGTAAAATTATAATTTTAGGCCATGTTTGAACCCCATTAATTGGAGAAATGTACTATGAAATAGTGATTGATGGAGAATGTGTAGTTAAAAAAGTATGAAAAGTTTTTGATTTGCATTTAATATTATTTTAATAAAGAATGTGTGACAAAAAATGAGTACTATAGAAAAAATTATGGAAAAGAATTTAAATTAAAGGATGCAAATAGAGACTTAATTTATTAATGATATGTATCTCATCGTACGATTAATTGATGAGATTTTAGAGTATGTCTGGGTGTTTTTTTTACCTACATTGGTAGTCAAAAAATGTTCATCCATACTTAATTAGGCAGTGATTAAACTCTTATCAATTATTAGGGACAGTGGTTATGAGGGAGTTCCCTCTGCCTCCACCTAAATTTTTGTTTAATTTTTATCATCTTGATACTTTTTTTGGTAAACAAGATTGCCACCCGCGTATTTAATTTATACAAATCAAATTACAAGATCTAAGAAAATAAGTATACAAAATGCCACTTCATCAAGTATTCTCGCCTTGGATAAAACTAAAGTGTTCAAGCCAAAATATTTTCTAACATTTATAGGTGATAGACATTTTGCTTGTCATTTTCTGGTATGGCAGCCCCTATGGCCCTAGAAATTCTTCGTAAGGAGAATCACTTAAAGATGATGAAACACAGCAAAAAAAGGTGTGGAAGTTCTAGAACACAATTTTTTCCTCCCATATAAAGAAACAAAATCACATTATCTATAGATTCAGTATCAGTTACATATCCAACTCGCAATTGTATAGCATTAACAGAGGAGTTGACTTTCTCCTTCAAAAGTTTTTTGAGCAGAACATCCTTTAACATCATAATTAAATACACCAACGAAAACTTTAGTGCAGAAAATTCCGGCCAAAGTAAAAGAGTTTCAAGAACAACACACCTCCAGTCAAGCCGAGTCTACCCCGTCCACTTGTTGTCGAGCTAGGTATCTTTCTCTTCTTTCTTTCTACAGAACAGAGTTCAGGAGAGAAGGGATAAATATAAAGGAATATGAGAATCAAAGTCTTACAAGAAGAATTTCCAAATATCAAAAGATAGCTCACCCATTCATCGATGACAAGTCCTTCACCAATCAACTTCGGACCAGCCTCTTCTGGAGGCTTCTTGCGAGCTTCAAGTTCAGCCTCAGCCTCAGCCAATTGGCGATTTAATTTCTCTAGAGCCTTCAAAAATTAAGTAGATGCATCTTACAAATCAGCATTTCCAATGCAAATCTTTTCTTGTTTGTCTATAACAAATATATGCAGATAAATTTGCATCCAACTACAGTAAGATGAACATGATGCATTGGTGTGCATTGTATTTAGGACAGCGGATTCCTTACGGGGCTAGGACGTTCAACGTCTAGAAATACGACTCGAAGTATTTGCTCCACCAACACTTGATCCTTCTGCTCATCAAACTGAGACAATACAACATGAACGAGATTAGACCAAATTGGAATGAAATTTAAAGACAAATCTTCAATGCACAAATGTGAGAGCTAATAAAAAATGTGTGATCTCTATATCTAACCAATTGATGACATACATGAAACATCACAAATAAATGCAAACCAATTAGCATTGAGAAATTAAGTTGACTCTTTTTTTTTTTTTGATGATAGCCGGTTTCTTACTGATATATTTCCTCAGTTGACATGACAATTCAACTCTCCTACAGGGATATGATCATGATACTTGGAAACTAATTTGAAAAGCACTAGAGTGTGAAAACAATAGCATCAAGATAAGAAGAATGTGACGAACCAGCTCTGATACATAATCAGTTCCTTCTTTCACCTTCAGGCTCATGATTTTGAACTTCACCTTGCTCTTCTGATCCACTGGTTTTTCATTGTTTTCTGGGGGTTCTACAAACTTGAACACTAACAGAACAATTGAAACCCAGGAATCAAAGTTGTGGAAGTCAATTTACCATCAGAAAAAGGAAAAACAAGCATAAAATCAAGGTCAAAATATCTGAATTAAGTTTCTAAATAAATATAGTGATTATCTTCTACCAGAGAAGGAACTGGCAACACTTTTTTACCAGAAATTGAAGACATATGTTCCTAGCCTAGTTTTTCTGGGATATGCCTGTGTTTTTGTAATTTACTTTTACATTTTTGATATAATACGCTTACCTTATCAAAAAAGAAAAGGAACTGGCAAATGCACGTGTTAAATTATTACCTGTTGCTATTATACTCTCGCCAGGAGCAAGAATGGCCCCAGGAGGACGCATGAAACAGCTCTTTGGTGCAGTTGTTTGAAACTAGAACAACAACAACAACAACAACAACAATACATTCTCAGGTAGAAGAAGCAGCAGCAATAAAATAAATATGGCAAAATACAATATCACGTTAACCTAAATCAAAATCAAGCATATTTGAGACCAAATAATCAATAATTTTCAATTCTTCATCTACTTAAAGAAAAAAAGTGTATATGAGACAGAGAGGCGGGTAGAGAGTAAACAAATTATGAAAACTTCCCACTCTGCATACCTTGAATGCTACATGAGACTTGCTAGTATTTTTAATTTTAATAGCACTTTGGACTTGTTTTCCAGGTTCATCTGCACGGAGTAAAAGGAAACAAGAAAATCATTACAGAAAAATAAAAAGGAATTCTACAAGTAAATATTTAATCGATTATCCCGTTCCAGAATGTCAACATTAGCTGAATGCAAAAAGTATGAGTTACTGCCAATATTCAGGAAAGAATAGAAGTTCTAGAAGAGGCACTACACACTCGTGCGCCACATAGGCTACTGGTTTGTTCCCACTGACACAAGGTACATCTGTCCTATCTTTTCCTATTTTCACAATTTCACCATAGTTTGATCTTGTAGCTCTCAATATAGTAACTTATACCAATTCATTATTACTATATTACAGATGCACATGAAAATTTAGAACATGATTTTTTCTCCTCCGATAACTAACCTTCGTGTTCGTATGCAGAAAAACGATACTTTTTTTTGTTCCCGTTTCATTTTCTATATAAGGCCAAAACTTCTTGAGTCTCTCCTTACAAACTCGACATTTGACTCCAAACAAAAGAAGACAAAAGAGGAGTGAAAAAAAAAAAAAAAAAAAAAAAACAAAAGATTGGTGCATTTGAAGCAACACTTTGCTGAACTACCGTGTTAAAACTCCAATTTACAGCTAAATTGTAACTGCATGACATGAATTTTCACTTGTTTTCCTCCCGAATCGGAGTCAATATATCCAGATCAGAATCCAAGCAGAAAGAAGTAAAGTTTGTGTATGATCATGATTTTCTTGAAAGCCTTGATTTTTTCTACAAGAACTTCAAAATCAAAAAATTCATTTAAACAAACCAATTTAATCCATATTTTGTCACTATAAGAAGAATCAATTTCAATCCATCTACCAAAATCGCACACAGATCAATCCTATTTCAAGTAAATAAAACCTAATTTTCAAATAACTATGAACTTATGAAAAAATTCCAGTAAGTAGAAGTCGAATTTCAAGAAAAACAGTCCAAGAAGAGTAGAAATCGTCCGTACAAGGAAAATAAAGCTTGTTAGGGGGATCGAGCTTCAAACGACGCCGTGTGAGGAGCAGAGATCTGGCAACGGAAGAAACCGAAGAGGAAGCATTTCCTTGAGCACTTGATCCCTCCACCTGAGAATGGCTGTTGTTATAGTAGCTGAGTTGATGCTGATGATGAGGAAAAGTAGAAGAAGAAGAAGACGCCGTCGTCGAGTTCGAGTTTCGGAACGGTAGCTTGAACAGGCCCCATATTTTTCCGTCTGACGAAGACGACTTTTCCTCCTCGATTGCCATTTACTCGGAATGATCCGTCGCCGGAATGTGTAAACTACGTCGTTTTTGGTGGCTCGGATATATTCTGCCTTTTTTGAGCAAGACTTTCGAAAAGCTCTCAGTTGGAGCCTCGTGGTGATGATAGGAGCAAGTAGCATATCAATATCACGTTTTTTAATATACAGTTGCCTGCTAGCGACTTTAGTTCAGATGAAAGGAAGACAACCTAAAACGCACTTTATCCAAGTCATTGACTCTCAACCAACCCCGTTCCACCTTGCCATTTCCATTTCCATTTCCATTTCCATTCCCGCCATGGATGTACTTCGCTACTCGGTAGGCTCTCGATTCCCTAAAACTCACCGCCGCAGTTCATTCCGTGCATTTCACTGCCAATGCTTCTTTGCCAAAAGGTTATCCACTTCACTTTATTTCTCCGCTATCGCTTGGATTCTTCTCTATCCAATCTCTAGGGTTTCATTTTAGATTGTGTTGATTTTCGTGTTTTTTGAGTTATTTTTAGGTCGAGTCTAAGCCTTCCGTTTCCAGAACATAATGCAAAGCACTATAAAGAGCTCCAAGCAGCTGTCAATGTTGTCGAGAGTGCTTGTCGTCTCTGCGTTGATGTAATTTCCTATTCGTCTTCTTTTCCATTGCTAACGCAGTTTACTTCTGAATATGAAAGTTTCCATTAATGATGCTTAGGTGCAAAAATCTTTGTTCTCAATTGATGGAAAAGTTGTGCAAAAAGTTGATCGGACACCAGTTACGGTTGCAGATTTTGGAGTTCAGGCCCTTATCAGCTTGGGTAATTTCTCTATTGGTCGCTTCCTGAAAAGTTTTACAAATTAAAAAAAAAACAGCTCGTTCTATGTTCATTCACTTTTCAGTTCTGTTTTCTTCAACGTTGCAGAGATGAGCAAACTATTTCCTTCTATTCCTTTGGTGGCTGAAGAAGACTCGGCATTTTTGCGTGAAAATAATCTCGTGGATGCTGTTGTTGAAGTGGTCGCAGATAAATCCGCTTCAGGAGATAAACAGCTAAGTCAAGATGATGTTCTAAAGGCAATTGACAGAGGGGGGAGTGATGCCTATGTGTTTGGATCTAGACCAGCTACTTACTGGGTGAGCTTCCGTTTGCGATTTGTATAGCTCATTTAATTCCATATTATTGTTAATCTGAACAATTTTATTTTACCGAGAAGGTGATAAATAAAATTATCGGTGTTTTGGCATTTAAACCGGAGAAAAATGAATCCTCCAAAATTAGGTAGAAATTGAAAGATAAACAGCTATGGGGTTCTTCCTACTTGATTGCAGTGCATGTTTTGTGGTTTTGCTGCTATGAACTGGCCGTGTAGCAGGGCGTTGTCACAGATGTGCACCATTGACAAGCCATCTAATGCTGATGCAATCGTGCATGATTACATTTTATTTTATTCTCGTCATTTTCTAAAGCTTGGTCCAAAGCATAAATTTTATATCCTTCTTGCAGGTATTGGATCCTATTGATGGGACTCGGGGATTCGTGAAAGGTAGTGAAGCTCTCTACGTGGTAAGTTCTGTCATTGCTTGTTTCTATTTCCTCCTTCCATGTTGGGCTGCTTTAAACCTCTTCTTGTTTCTGTCTTGAGAAATACAGTATATAAATTCAGGTTTGTTCAAAGCAATGATGTGTATGACATTAACTTATTTTCTATTTGCTATATAACCCTAAAATTGGGAGCCTCTTCCAGTTTACCCCATTTACAGTGAATTACAATTTGTGCAGGCGTCCCGGGATGTAGAGCTTAAATACTTAACCTAATAATATTAAGTCAAAAATTTCGAAAGTACTTGATTCTGGACTGAATATACATGGATCAGTTACAAATTATCTCTATACTTAATCGATCCCTCTAGTTTTTGTTTTTGAGTTATATTGACATAGAATTCCTTTGGACATCTTCCCGTCAACGTTGAGAACCTAAAATCATCTGAAAATCTGCAAATCAGGAGCCAATTATTCTCTTTTACGTTTCATTAATTATCTTTCTTCATCTTTATTGAACACACAGATGGAAATATGCTTTTCTTGACTATTTTGTTAATAGTATCATAGGAGCTTCTATGTATTTCTTAGTTTCTTTTTGGTGCTTAGCTAAGAGCATTGCTGAAACTTTCAGGTAGGTTTGGCTCTTGTAGTTGAAGGTGAGATTGTTTTAGGCGTCATGGGCTGCCCTAACTGGCAAGAAGAGTATTCTGGCAAATTCACCAGTAATATACAGGAATACAATAATACTGCAACTAGATCTGGGGTCATTATGATATCTCATGTTGGGCGTGGAACATGGAGAAAACAATTATGGAATGCACAAATTGGTGACGTCAGAATGCCTCAAAATTGGATCAGGTGCTTTGTTGATGGGCATCACCTCATTCATGGGGCACGTTTTTGCATTCCAGAAAGTCAAACCTGGGAGTCAATGCCATTATCAAGTCAATTTAATGCAACAACTGATGCCGAGTGTGTTGAGGGGAAACAGGTTCTTCTTGTGCAGACTTGCTGTGGAAGGTTTTCTCTAGTTCAAAGAGAGTGCAATTCCTTATTATTTGCATTTACCTGAACTCTTTTCTTATTTATTGTGACTTTTGAGAATTATTAGATCTCCTCATCTGTATGCCAAGCGAATTTCTCATCCGAGCATGGTATTAGACATTCCTTAATTTTGACTTGGCTCAATGTGGAAATACTCGTGTGCATGTATTGTGCACATACATATATTAGAAAAGGGACTGTGGATTGAAATAAAAAGTTGTTAGTACTGATTGATCATAGAGGTAGATTAGTAGAGCTAAAGCTAGGATAACACATTTATATGAAGCCGCCACATCTTTTACTTCATCTTATTGAACCTGTATTTTGTGAAAATAAGGTGTAAATCTTTCCAACTTTTGAATCACATAGTTATGTTCGATCTATCATCTCTAGCATTCTATAATCTTGTTCTCCAGTTGCTTTATGCGCATAATATTCGTTTGCCTGTATTTGTGTGTCATCTATTGACATTAGAGAACTTCCAAAGCTTGCATTGTTTATCATACTTCGTTGTAAACATGTGCAATAGCATCCTGCATAACTCTCTTTATCGAAGCTTCAGGTTGCTACCTTGCTGGTGGAGTTTCTAGCTTTCATTACATCCTCCATCCCTTTCCCAAATCTCTCTTTGGGGAAAGAGCAAGGGAGGGGGAAGGTAGAGGGAGGCTAGACAATCAGGCAACTGGTTGGGGGAATTTGTTTTGTTATTTTATTTTGACGATGACATAATTTCTCATGGCAAATGTAAGGACGTTTTAGTAAAATAGTTATGATCTGCACTTGTACAGATTATTCCCTTACCGTGATGCCCAACTCCCGCAAGAATGGAACTGTGTAATGCCACATTTGTTCATAAGAGGTGGTCCTGGAGTAAGAAATCCCCTCTCTTGTGATGCCCCCAACCTAAGAGAGCCTAAGATCTTTCATCAAACGTCTAGGTGAACAATTATTGTTATCCTCCTCTTGTGGGACATCAGTTTCTGTATCATGGATCACTGGTTTGAGCAGTTAACCCAACATTTCCAGAATTTTTAAAATTTCTTTTTAGTATTCTGTGGTGAGACTAGATAATTGTACACCATTTTTTCGTTTACATCAATTTAATAATGATGGATTTGAAGGAATAACCTTCTGCTTCAATGGAGGAGTGGCATATGAGGCCTTATTGGCACGGTGTCTACCCTCTACTATGCTCATGGAGTTTTTATTTTTTATTTTTTATTTGTTCTAACAATCCACGTCTACCCTCTACCATGCTCATGGAGTTTTTTTTTTTTTTTTTTCCCACATGGTGATCTGTGTTTTCATGCTCTACATTTGATGCAGCAGAATACTTTTCTCCTTTCTTTGTTAAAGAAAGAAACATCTGTTGACATGTCTTCAATGTCAGATGTTAGGTTATTGCCTCGGTTGATATTATGAATTTTACATTGTACATGATTCTTCTGCATGTCTTGTGTGTACCCATTTGATGCAGCAGAATATTTTTCTCCTTTCTTTGTTAAAGAAAGAAACATCTGTTGACATGTCTTGAATGTCAGATGTTAAGTTATTGCCTCGGTTGATGTTATGAATTTTACATTGTACATGATTCTTCTGCATGCCTTGTGTGTACAGTCTTTGTAAATATTTGATGGTAGCGTCTGGAAGGGCATCTGTTTTCTTTCAGAGTTCAAAGACTCAAAAAACAATAAAGGTAATATCCTAGTTTCTGGCTATCTCTGAAGAGCTGTAACGACACAATTAATGTTTAATCTTGTCAATATATAGGTCTGGGATCATGCTGTTGGAATCATATGTGTCCATGAAGCGGGAGGAAAGGTATGTTGCACTACATTTCCTCTCCATGTGGATGTTTCATTAATTCAGCTTGCAGGCATATAATTTCATTTTAAAGGGATGGGTGTCAGCAATCCTTCATGTTTAATCTGGTTAGAAGTCATTATAACCTGTTGGGATACAAGTATTATGCATGACAAATGATGATCATCAAGCTTCACCTCGTTTTCGCAAAGGACAACAATAGAAGGATAGTCTGCAGTTTATCAATGAAATGATTTCTGTAGTTTAATGAAATTCTTATTCTGATTCTTATTATATAATTTATTGATAATAGTAAAATTATAGACAAAAACAGTAGATGATATTTTTTTGTTTTAGGGAAAAAGTTGGGCAGCATTCTTTCTGGGGAATCTTTTTTAGTTATGGTCCAGTAACGAAGAATATTTGCAAAAGAGAGATGACTGGTAAATATAAAACAGATTTAGAAATGGGTCTTCTGCTGCTACAAACACGTTTGTGCTAATGACTGGAGGCCATTCCATATTGTTGTTTCCTAAACTACTGCAAGAAACATTTACAACAACCCATTTTTGGAACGACCATTGATTCAATGGTCCTACCTCTTAAAAGGTACCATTTTTTGAATCCTTGGGAACATTATGCAGCGATTATGGTCTAGGATAAGAACATACGTGATTGCAAATTCCAACATTTCCCCTCCATTATATATGTTAGTCGAAATGTCTCTGAGTTTGTTAATGCTTTAGGCAGACTATATTAATGCAGAAACTATACTTGGGGTTATATATTTTGCTCTATCTTTCTTTTTCTCAAACATATAATAAACTAGACTTACCATAATCAGGTGACAGACTGGAGAGGAAGTCAACTTGATCTTGCTGCAGATAAGGCAGAGCGAAGGGTCATATTTCCTTCTAGTGGTATTCTAGTGACAAATAATAGCATTCATAACCAGGTACTAGAGATGATCTCCTCAAGTTGATTATTCTTTGATGGTTCACCATTTTATCTCTATTTTTTTCCCCTATTAGTACAGTGATTCATAATTTTTCGCAGTAATTTATTTTTAAACTCGAGCCTGTAAGTGGCTTATTTTAGTTTAGAAAATTCTTGAAAGCAGGTATTGTTGTAAGAAATACATTGTCAAATCAACCATTAAAATCCATGTTCTTTCTGGAAAAGAGATTATTGGTTACACGTTGTTCCTAAGATTGTTGAATAGAGCTTTTAGTTGGGCTCTTACTTTTCTTTCAAATTTTGAAGTTGAATACTAGTATTATAGTTAAGCTACCATAATAGTACAGTCAATTTATCATTTGAGAAATCTTCCATTTCCCTACTATATAAAAAAGGGGAATGTGAATGCACTGTAAAAAGTAACAGTATTTTGATCCATCTTTACTGTAGCATTTTTGTTTCGTTTTTTTTTCCCCCAATTATGGGCCAAAAACGACGCCGTTTGCTTGATATATATTTTATTTTATTATACACTACTTCCAAATTTACTGTAACACGCAATTTTCATTCCTCCCCCACTTCGATATAAATATATATAGTAGGGATATAAGAAAAAAATTACTTTTATATTAAAAAAAAAAAGATACAGATAATATGTGATAGAAATTTTTTTACAACATATTAGTTGTAAGTAAAAAATTTGAAGAAAAAATAATTAAAGAAAATTTTAAATTGAAAAAAAAAATTATAACGTAAAACTAAATAGCAAAAATATATATATATTAAATTAAATTAATCTCTTTGTGTCCGTGCACACGGAGACATTGTCTCCGTGCACAGAAAAAAAAATTAAAATATAAAGGACTCTCCGTGCACGGAGACCATAGCTCTCCGTGCACGGAGAGAGAAATAAAGTTTTTTTCCCTATCTCTACTATATAAAAAAGGGGAATGTGAGGGCACTGTAGAAAGTAACAGTGTCTTGATCCATCTTTACTATAGCATTTTTGTTTTTTGTTTTCTTTTTTCAATTGGGAGCCAAAAACGACGTCGTTTACTTGATATATATTTTATTTTATTATACACTACCTCCAAATTTATTGCAACAGGTAATTTCCATTCCTCCCCCACTCTGATATAAATAAATATAGTATGGATATAAGAAAAAAATCACTTTTATATATAAAAAAAAAAAGATACAGATAATATGTGATAAAAAAATTTTTACAACATATTAGTTGTAAGTAAAAAATTTGAAGAGAAAAGAATTAAAGAGAATTTTAAATTGAAAAAAAAAATTATAACGTAAAATTAAACAGCAAAAAAAAATTAAATTAATCTCTTTGTGCACGGAGCTTTGCTCAGTGCACGAAAAAAAAATTAAAATATGAAGGACTCTCCGTGCACGGAGAGAGATAAAGTTTTTTCCCTACTATATAAAAAAAGGGAATGTGAGGACACTGTAGAAAGAAACAGTGTCTTGATTCATTTTTATTGTAGCATATTTGTTTTTTTTCAATTGGGGGCCAAATACGACGTCGTTTGCTTGATATATATTTTATTTTATTATATATTACATCCAAATTTACTGCAACAGGCAATTTTCATTCCTCCCCCACTCCGATATAAAAATATATAGTAGGGATATAAGAAAAAAATCACTTTTATATATATAAAAAAAAAAGATACAGATAATATGCGATAGAAATTTTTTTACAACATATTAGTTGTAAGTAAAAAATTTGAAAAGAAAAGAATTAAAGAGAATTTTAAATTAAAAAAAATATATAACGTAAAATTACACAGCAAAAAAAATAAATTAAATTAATCTCTCCATGCAAGGAGCAAAACTCCGTGCACGGAAAAAAAATTAAAATATGAAGGACTCTTCGTGCACGGAGAGAGAAATAAAGTTTTTTCCCTACTATATAAAAAAAGAGAATGTGAGGGTATTGTAGAAAGCAACAGTGTCTTGATCCATCTTTACTGTAGCATTTTTGTTTTTTTTTTTTTCAATTGGGGGCCAAAAACGACGCCGTTTGCTTTATATATTTTTTATTTTATTATATACTACATCCAAATTTATTGCAACACGCAATTTCCATTCCTCCCCCACTCCGATATAAAAATATATAGTAGGGATATAAGAAAAAAATCACTTTTATATATATATAAAAAAAAGATACCGATAATATGCGATAAAATTTTTTTTACAACATATTAGTTGTAAGTAAAAAATTTGAAGAGACAAAAATTAAAGAGAATTTTAAATTGAAAAAAAAAATTATAACATTAGTCTTCATGCACGGAGACACTGTTTCCGTGCACGAAAAAAAAATTAAAATATGAAGGACTCTTCGTGCACGAAGACCATAGCTCTCTGTGCACGGAGACCTTTTGATCTCCGTGCACGGAGAGAGAAATAATTTTTTTTTTTTACTTATGTTTTTGTATTCATTTTCAGGCTCATTACGGGATATCAAACGAAATCGAAATATTATATTCTTAATATCGTTTTGAAGTACTCACGGCATAGTATTGCACGTCGTTAATGGTGCGTGAAACGGTCAATCATAGCAAATGTTATCGGACATCAAAATAGGCATTTTCAAACTATATTTCGAAATTTTACGATAACAAGCTAACTTTAAAAATTCATCGACGATCGTATGATAGTCGAATCGATAAATGTTTTACATTATCTCGAAACTCATTTTGAGAACTATATCGTAGAGATATCGAATGATCTAAATAGATATCAAAAATAGTTAAACGGACATTAAACGTATGTGTTAAAAAATACGCATAAGTCGTTTTTTCTTTAAAAAATCAATTATTTTATTACTATTTCGAAATTTTCAATAACAAGCTAACTTTAAAAATTCGTCAACGATCGTACGATAGTCGAATCGATAAATGTTTTACATTATCTAGAAACTCATTTTGAGAATTATATCGTAGAGATATCAGATGATCTAAATAAATATCGTAAATAGTTAAACGACGATTAAACGTATGTGTTAAAAATGCACATACGTCGTTTTTCTTTAAAATCAATTATTTTATTACTATTTATTCTTTTTTTGCAACAATTTTTTCAATGCATCATTTTACTCAAAAAAATTATGTGGTATGATGAAATTTTTTTTCTCCATGCACAGAGTAAATATGTTTTTTTTTTATCATTTTATATATTGAATTATTACTAGAAAATTAAATTTTATCTCAAACTATTAAAAAATACTGATTAATAATCAAAAAATTGAAGAAAAAAATTAAAAAGAATTCTAAATTGAAAAAACTATTATTTATAACGTAAAACTACACAGAAAAAAATTATTAAATCTAAGTTTCTGTTTGGAATTATTAAGAGAAAAGAATTTTAAATTGAAAAAAAAATTATAATGTGAACAACAAAAATTAAAATTCTTTTTAATTCTTTTTTCTTCAAATTTTTTACTTAGAAGTAACTTTTTGTAAAATATTTTTTTTATTTTTTTATATAAAAGATATTTTTTTTCTTATTCCTACTATATATATCTATATAAGAGTGATTGAGCATGGAGTGATGGGATGTATAGAAATTACATGTTGCGGCAGTTTCTTATAGTATAATAAAATTTTTTAAAGTAAAATTTTTTTATATATATTTTATTACTATATAATTAAATATTATCTGAAATTATTAAAAAATAAAAATACTAATAATATAAGATAGAAAATATTTCTAAGAGGTAAAAAGTTACTTGTGAGTAAAAAAAAATCAAAGATAAAGAAATTAAAAAAAAATTTTAAGTTGAAAAGAAAAATTATTTATAATGCAAATCAAAACTAAGTTTCTGTTTGGAATTATTAAAATAAAAGAATTTTAAATTAAAAAAAATTATAATGTAAACAATACAAATATTTTTTTAAAAAATGAAGAATAGTTAAACGGATATTAAACATATGTGTTAAAAAATACGCATAAGTCGTTCTTTTTTAAAAAAATCAATTATTTTATTACTATTTCTAAATTTTCGATAACAAGCTAACTTTAAAAATTCGTCGACGATTGTACGAATCATAAATGTTTTACATTCTCTTGAAACTCATTTTGAGAACTATATCGTAGAGATATCGAATGATCTAAATAAATATCGAAAATAGTTAAACGGACATTAAATGTATGTGTTAAAAAATGCGTATAAGTCGTTTTTTCTTAAAAAAATCAATTTTTTATTACTATTTATTATTTTTTCGCAACATTTTCTCAATACATTATTTTGCTAAAAAAAAATCATGCGGTATGATGTAATTTTTTTTTCAATATTTAAAATTTCATTTTTTTTCAAGTGGGGAGTAAAAAAGACGCGTTCCTCCGTGCATAGAGTATATGGATATATATATTTTTTACATTATTATAGATATAGAAAACTATATATATATATCATTGTAGTTGGATATATATAATAATTTCAGACAATATTTAATTTTATAGTAATATTTTTAGTAATATTGAATTTTTTAAATTAAATTTATCAAAATATTACTTTAGATAAAATATTAACTCAAAGTTTTAATTATATTTCTTTACATAGTAAAAAGTTTGCTTCAAGTTGTAAAAAAATAAAAAATGATATATATATATATATATATAAGAGAACTCCGTACACGAAGGCCCAAAGACTCCGTGAGTGGTCTCCGTGTTGCACAGAGACCTGGGAAAAAAAATTACTTATATTTTTGTGTTCATTTTCAAGCTCATTACGAGATATCAAACGAAATCGAAATATTACATTCTTAATATTGTTTTGAAGTACTCGCCGCATAGTATTGCAAGTTGTTAACGGTGCGTAAAACGGTCAATCATAGCAAATTTTATCGGACATCAAAGTAGGCATTTTCAAACTATATTTCGAAATTTTCGATAACAAGCTAACTTTAAAAATTTATCGACGATTGTGCATAGTCGAATCGATAAATGTTTTACATTCTTTCGAAACTCATTTTGAGAACTATATCGTAAAGACATAGAATGATCTAAATAGATATCAAAAATAGTTAAACGGATATTAAATATATGTGTTAAAAATTACGCATATGTCGTTTTTTCTTTAAAAAATCAATTATTTTATTACTATTTCAAAATTTTCGATAACAAGTTAATTTTAAAAATTTTTCGACGATTGTACTATAATCGAATCGGTAAATGCTTTACATTCTCTCGAAACTCATTTTGAGAACTATATCGTAGAGATATCGAATGATCTAAATAAATATCGAAAATAGTTAAACGGAGATTAAACGTATGTATTAAAAATGTGTTTTTTCTTTAAAAAAATCAATTATTTTTTTCTTTTTAATTCTTTTCTCTTCCAAATAAAACTTAATTTTTCAATTTTAACGAAAAAGTTATTTGTAGGTCAAAAAAATTAAAAAAAAAATTATATATAGTGTGGTCTCCGTGCACGGAGGATTATTTAAATTTTTTTTTTTTTTACTTTTCCGTTCTCCATTTTCATACGCTATGACCACGCCTTTTCAAATCAACTCATTTGCTTATATTATTATATTCTATATATAGTGTAAGAGAGGCAATGTGACTCTATGTAACACGCAACTTTCCATACCTCCCGTCCCGCCTTACTCTGTGTTGACCACTTTTATAAGTAAAAAAAATAATAATAATAACTTTTAGTAAAAAAAAATTAAAAATAAACAATTAACAAAAAATATTTCTAATATATGTAAAAATTACTTATATAAGTAAAAAAATTCGTTTAAAATTATTTAGAAGTAAAAAATAAAATAAAGTTATGAAAATTAAATGAAGAATAAATAAATATTATTTAATTAAAATTGAAAAATTTACTTTATAAATAATTGATTTTTTTATCAATTTATTTAAATTTCTTTTTAATTCTTTTCTCTTTCAAATAAAATTTATTTAAATTTTTTAAAATTATTTTGCCCTACCAACCTCGGAGTGACTGTTGTATCGTTTGAAAAATAGGCCTGCTGTTAGGGTTCTAATTCTTACACCAACAAGGGAGTTGGTCATCCAATAAGTGCCACTTCAAGTTATTTTTACATGCGAACTTAAATTTGTTATTTAAATGTTTGTGTTTGTAGATATTCTCTTTCAATTTACAACTGCATGAGTTCTTTTTGAACTACAGGTTTAGCCTCTCGAATCGAAGTTGTTAAAGAAAAGTATTTTACAAAATTCAATTTACAATTTATTTTCAATATCAGATAAAAATAAATATCTTCATCTACATTAAACAAAAAATATAAAAAATAATTAAAAATAAATTATCGTTGACATATATACAATCACAACATTCACTATACTTATTTATAATAATAAAAATAAATTATCGTGACATAAAATATACAGTCGACTAAAAGATGGGAATCAAACAAACATTTCTTATTTTCAAATACTTTTTGTATAATTTATAAATTTTACGCTAATAAAATCAAAATAAATATAAAATTCGTGCAACGCACAAGACCTAGACTAATATATATGAATATTTAGTTATTTTACAAACCCTATCCATCCATCCATCCATCCAGTTGGTAGGATAATCTGAGTTTAGTTATTTACTCAACTGAGATAGATACTTGTTCATTTCTTAAGCTTCCATGTGTCATGCATCTACTTATTTTATTCTATTAAATTGAGAAACTAGAGTAGCGTGGCTGTTTTGTTGGAAAGATCTGGAATCACATCGACCAAACAGGTGTTTGTTTTCTCCATCACAAAATTAAACAAAGTTGTCATCATTCCATTATGGTAATATTATTCCTTAATATGGGCTCGCATTGCATGGCTATAAACAAATATATGCGTTCTTCTGCTCAATCCACGTTCGGCAGTAATTTAGTCAAGAGTAATGCTATTCGTAATTGTTGATTGTGGTAGTCGTCCAACGTGACATACACATGATAAGTAATTATTTAATGCACGAGTCAATAAAAAATTACTACATTAATGTATCAAATAGTTATCTGTCATGTGTCTGTTACATAAAACGACTGTCGTAGTGAGTGATTGTGAATAATATTATTATTTAATCAAAATCAATAATTAATTTTAATCATATATTTCATGAGTTCCACAACTTTTTAATTATACATTTTATCAACTTTTATCAAAATTTAAAAAAAAATATATTTTTTTAATTTCCTACTAACAGAGGGTTATTAATATGTCGGAAATGCTGTTTGTACAGTCTGAGCTGTACAGGCTCGGGCTACTGCCCCTCACAAGTGGGTGGCCCGCAAACTTTTTATTTCGCAAGGGCCTCCCAATCCGTGAGAGTGCTTTAAATGGTGCTTGGCACCGTGCTGTGTGCACAGCACTGCCCTATTAATATTTATATGCGCATGAAATTGCTTAGAACAGTAAGCACGATATGCTGTCACCAGACACGTATCTAAAAATAGCTATAATTTAATAAAATAAGGAAATAAAAAATTTTTAATATCCAGAGTGTGTTGTGGGAGCGAATAAAAGGTAACCACATATTAATTAACAAATAATCCACCTAATATGTCCACTGTTTGCTGGTCAACTTTGGGACGTAAGCAACTTATAATTTTGGCATTAATGCAAAAGCAAACCTTAATTTTTCTGTAGATAAGATCCTTTTTTAAGCAAATGATAATCCAATGATTCCCCAAAGTATTTACTGATATATAATACAGCAAAGGCTTGCTCCCTTCTGACTACTTTTATCAAAGGGATGTCTTGACACCGTTCATGGAGACACAGAAAAGGGCAAAAAGATCAAGTTTAGACTCCTTAAAAAAAGGCAACTGCAAGGAAAAAATAAATTTATAAATACTATTTCTAAAAAGTATTATTTAAAGTTATATTATATTATATTTATTTCTTGATTTGCTTTTTAATAACTAATTTTATATGTTTTAATATGTAAATTATTCAGCTCCCGTTTGGTAGTGATTGTTTACTCAAATAATTGATTTTTTTATCGTTATTTCACTATTTCAGTCGTTATTTTTTATTTCTTCAGTTACAGGTGGTCTCCACTTTCTCTCCGATGATCAAAAATCAATTCTCATAATCACTACCGAACATGCCCTGAATAATCTAATATTTAGATGCTTAATAGACTTTGTTAAATTAATAGTAAATTATTCAGTAAGTTACAAACTAGTAAATGATATGTTTGGAAAGTGTTTATAAATGGATAAAAATGAATTGTCAAAAAGTGAATAATACTTGTGGATCGTATGAAATTTGTAGACGTGTCATAAATAGTAACATTTATAAGCA